GGCTGCGGGTCCCCGAGCTCCTTCCGCAGCCCCTCCGAGCCCAGCTCTGACCCTTCCTTCTTGCAAGCCAGCTAGGCTATATGGGCTGTCCGCCCAGGCAGATTGCTTATTCAAAGAGCGAGCCTGAAACTGGACAACCAAATTTGTTCAGCCAAACAGTTACATTTCTTGAGTCTTTTCAAATAGAAATCCTTAGCTGGCTGGAGATTGCAGGCCTCTTCTCTGGGACACCGTAAGTGCATCCTAAGTGCTTAGCCTTTCTTTAAGCCTGTGTTGCTCCTCTTGCCCCATGAAACTGCTCAGCAAGATGCATGCGCCTTTCTTAGATATCCCTCAGAATTTCTTTTCAGTAATTTTCCACTTAGTGATTTGTAGAACTTCTAAAAATCTCCTCAGATTTAACCTGCAGCAATTGAGCCACCAATCTCAAGCAGCAGAAGGGCAACTCATTATTACTTTCACGTTTTACACTTTGCTGAACACAAACAGTATCTCCTCGCTTTCTCATTTTATAAACATGTAATTGTCTGGTTATTTTCCTTCCAAACCTACATACTTTCTTTAACAAACACTGATAGTTAAGCTAACTAGACTGAAGTTTGGGGCTACAGTCTAGCCTTCCAAACCTTCCTGAAGGTTCAGAAAATAAGGAAGTTGACTTCAATTTCATTACCCTCCTTCCCCTCCCTAATGGAAACCACAGAGGGACTCAGGGCTGCATTTACAGAGCCAAATCATTTGTTTTGCATCATGATTTAAAGTTGCTTTTCCCAGAAGACACAAGGTAGAAGTTCAAATAACCAGGAAAAGAGAAAAATCTTTATGCTCCAATGACTAGCGTATGAACACTATTTGTTTTATTCTAGAGCACCAAAAAGCAATTTCACCACAGTTCTGTCTGGCTGCACAATCTTAACTGTTTGTTTGAAACTAAATATGCCACTAAAAACATTGGCGAGTCCCATGACTTTGCCTGTTGGTTGGAGGAGAACACAGTTTTTCCGACAGCAGCCCTTCAAGAGTATCTCTAGTATAAGATACAGCCTTTATAGTCATTCACACTTAGCAAAGGTGCAAGAATTTTATAGGTTTTGTAAGCCTCACCCTTGCATTAGGATATAGAGGTTATATATGGTGGTAGTTTAACTGCTGAGAAACACTAAGCCACAGGTTACAGATACCAACTATAACTCATTGCTCCTGTAGAAACTGAAATTCCTCAGGGCTAGGATAAGCAGTGGCCAGCATACTGCAGCAAGCTTGGAAGTGAGACTGTCTCTGTAATGTTTTCCAAAGCCTGCAAGTGAATTGGGAACATCTCACAGACTTCAGTGGAACGTAGGTGTTCTTGAAGATTATGCTCTATCCTGCTAGTTATTTGTGTTTTAAAGAACTTTACTCTGATAGAATCCAAGCATACAGAGCTCTGAGCAGGATGTGGCCCTGTGGGTCTTTCAGGAAGTGTCTACTAGAGCAGGTGCAAAGTTAAGGCCATAATCCCGGGCACATCAGCTTCCCAACAAGAAATGTTAATGAAAGGCTGTGAACAGTCGAAACTGAGATAGTTACTATAGAAATAAATGTGATAGCATCAGCTCAGTGAGATAGAAACTTTTTGCAATTTAGGGGAAATGGCAGTTTGGTAGAGAACTACACAGTGGATTATGTGGAAGCCACACAGCATGGACAAGTGAAGTTACTGCTGGTTTTAATGCCACTGTACTGGTATTTTAAATATCAAACCCACTGAAAATACTAGTCCAGTGTTCTTTTGATATCACACAAAGTACAGTACTGCTCTTCAGAGTCAAGCCAAAGTTGGGGGAAGGTTTTGAGCAAATGCTGTGAAAGATCATTAAAACCTGTGAATTGTATTTCAAAGCTTCAGTCAAATCATGGAATCAGAAGGTTACATTCTCAGAAGTGGCTTCAAAAATAATGGCAAGGCTCAGTTCCAGGTCCAGCTGGCTCAGACAGCCAGTCACCCATCATTTTCTTAATGAACAGTATGGCTGATTGGTTTAATTAGTTTTTCCACCTCTTCTGTGTATAGGCTCTGTTGTTTACAATATAACTTAGCAAACAACAATGTTTTTGCATTAGGCAGGATAGACTTCAGCTCATTCACCCATAACTTGTTTGTTCTGCAAGTGCAAAAAGGAAAGCAAACCTATTTGTACCACTAAGAGACCAGATGTGATGCCACCCCCCACAGTAAATCTAGAGAATGAGCAGTCTGCTCTCCTTTTACAATGTCACACAAGGCTCCTGGGTTCAGATCCCTCTCAAGTTGCAAGTTCAAGTGTGAAACTGTTCCAAATTTCAGAAATTCACTTCTTTTTCCTGCTGCTCTCACACAGAATGAATGGTATTAGCTGTTGCCCTGTGAAATGAGAATTTTTGGTATGTTGTCTTGTATTTCAGGAGATTTCACGACACGTGCGAGAGTTGCTGGGGGTTGAGGAGCCTCTCTTCAACAGGTCCATTGCCCTCCCATACAGAGACAACGTGGGTCTCTTCCTGGAGCGAAAGTCCCGATCAGGAGAGAAAGCAGATGCCCTCACTTTCTCACAGTTTGTCCAAGAGGCAGGACTGGAGCCCTATACTACAGTTCCTCCTTTGCAACGAGCCCAGACTGGGGTAGAAGCAGATGCTCTCCCTGTATCACAGGGCACCCAGAGGCAGGATTAGAGACTCACATTGCACTTCCACCTTTGTAAGAAGGCTAGCAGGGACAGCAGAATATACCTTGCAGCTTGTCCGAGGAGGTACAGTTCCACCTTGTCCTGATTATAGAAAAGGCTGTTGCAGCTCTTAGCCATTTGATGACAGCAAACACCCCCCCACACATTAGCTCTTTGCTGCGATCCTTCATTTGCTTCCAGGAACTAAGTGAAGCAGAAGCTATAAATCAGACTGTACCACTGTCTGTCTTTCACTTCTGCTTCACAGTTGATTGAAAAAAACAAATACCAATTGTAGACATATTTTAATTACCAGTGATTGCTAACAACTTCCCTGCGGCTTAAGTGAATAGATTTCTCCCAGGCTTTAGTGTCTGCAGACTGGGCTCACTGTAAAGTCCAGATGTAAGATAAATGGCATATACAATAACTCGTATACAGGTGTGGTGCCAGCTGCTGTTGGTGGTTGTAATTAAGTGAGGGGCCTAGTTACAACATGCACAACTAATCCAGGCCTCACCACAGAAATTATTTCCTGTGAGGCAAAACCAGGCAGTGGTTTGTCATAGTAAAGAGCACTGACACAGATGATAGATGATGGCAGGAAGTATAACAGAATACTGTAAGCAGAACTAGAGAATGTATGGAATAAAAAAATGCTTTTTCCTGGGTGGATTTGGACAGAATATCCAGTTAGGTCCTTTTTCCTTGAAGGAAGTATCACGTAATCTGTGGTGGTGGGGTGCTTTATCACCAGCAAGGAAAGTGCTGATTAAATAAGTGCTGATTAAAGCCTGCCTCAACAGAAAGCGTGCTCCTGACTAAATCATTACTATTTTGTCTGGCATCAACGGCTTCCTTGAGATTCCCCATGGAAAAATAATAAAAAACCAAACCAAAACAAAAAAAACCCAGACCCAATCCTATTTAGTGGCTATGCCAAAGCTGTAGCCACTACAAAGTAACTGTAATTTGATTTTGTAATTCAATTTTCTGTTGAAACTGCAACCCAGTGAAACTAAAGCAGTTTGCAGGCCAAGATAACTGTAATAAGCAAATTCAGACCAAGATAAAGCAATATTCAGGCAGCCAGGGAGAAGCAAGTTTGCTGAACAGCCTAGAGGGTGAAACCTGCAGAAGCAGGTGTATACATAGGGTTATTGGCTAGAATATTTTAAAGAGTCCAAGAGTGAACAGTGCTCATTCTTGTACCCCTCAGTCCCATGAGGGGGCTGAGATGAGATCTCAGCAAAGCATTCTGCCATGGGCTTTGTTATAGTTTATGAGGATTTAGAATCATAGTCAGCAGTTTCCTCTGGGGTTTCTAAGAACATGTCGGAAGCAGCTGCGGAGAATGGAGACTTGTCATCCAATGTCACACCAGGCTTCACTACAGCTGAAGTAAGAGATCTCTTGGTGCTGATCAGCCCACATTGCTTTGTAAGCCACCCTCCAAAGGATGCCTGGTACGGTAGAGCAAGATGGCACCAGACAAGCTCACTCTTTCTGGCAGCTGGGTAAAGGGAGACTCTCTCGGTTGTGCAGCTGTCAGGTCAAACCAGGGAAAGGTTCTAGGAAGAGAGAACAAGGAAAAATATTTATAAGCAATAACAGTCTGAAGCAGCTTGCTCATAATTTAACAGATAATGGTTTTCTTCAATGTCTCTTTCTTGGGTCTTTGAGAAACAGATTCAGAGACTTGAATCTAAAGTGTCCCAGGCATTACTCTGCCATGTGGAGCAAAACTGAGCCTAATGGCTCTAGAACAATCCTACACAAGCAGTTCTTCCCCTCAAGCAGTGTTCCCCTGACTTAACATCCTCAATAGTCTAGTCCATCAACTACCTTAAGTTTGTTACCCGTAAGAACTTTCCTCTCTAGATACTCCCACAGGATTTATTTTTTTCTGCGTCCAATACCCCAGTCCTGATCAGTGGCTTCAGACAACCCTGATAAGTAGCCAAACAGGAACCAGGGACAAAATAACCCAGGGATGATAGTCCAGGTCTTTTATTGCTAACACATTATCTAAGGTAATCTTCCCTGGCAAGTATGTGGTCCTAAGGGCAACATACAGTTCAGCACCTTCCAACACAAGACAGCCCGTGCTTCAGCTGCAGGATGAGGGAAGTTTCAGAGCAAGAGGAAGCCCAGACAAGCAGTGCTTCAGCATTCAGCCCTTTACTTACTCCTCTTGAGTCACTGAAGAGCCAAAACCTCTGCTGACAAAACTCTTGTACACAAACCGTGGGCAGGAAGTTTTCTGCCCTGCACAGATGGGGCAGCGTTCAGGAAAACAGAGGTCATTGAGTAATTTCAGTACCTTGTGGTGATGCAGGCTCTGCCACGTGCTGCTGTTCAGGGCTGTGTAGAAAATGGCCACCAGCCATTTAGCATTGACTCTTATTTTCCCTTCAGGACAGAAAAAATCAAATGTCAATTACCAGTGTGCACACAGGTGTGAAGAGATACTCTCATCTCTCACTTCTGGGAAGAATTGCATTGGCAATCAATCAGAGCTGGTTTATTTGAAACCTCTGATCTAGAATCATTTTAGGTGAGGGATGCTGAAATTAATAGTAACAAGTCTAGTATAGCTTGTATTTTCTGTAGCTCATTCTCATCGAGTAAACAGGAGTCCTTTACAGGTTGCATATAAAGTCATATACCCATTCAGCCATCATGGCATGGTGAGCGCTGTAACTGCTTTAAGAGCATTCAGCAACTCAAGAATTAGAAGGGCACGCAGAAGTGTGTAACAAAATTGCGATGGACAGAGGTAGCAGTTGGCAATAGGAACAGCATATCCATGGAAACAGAAGTTGTGCCCAAGGGAAGAGGAAAAGATTTTGTACTGTGTTCTTGCTCAGAAAGCATATCTCAGCTCCCGCTCGCTGATTTAGCCTCAGAGCTTTTATGGTTTCACGAAGGGAAATGGTAGCTCTTCAGAAACTGGTGGCAGGTATATGGAAAGCAGTGCTGCTGAAAGAAAGGGTGACCCCCGGGGCGCTATTCAGAGAAACCGGTGAAGGAGACACACACTGCCTCATTTTGCCCATCCATGTTTGCATGACTGCTGCCTTCCATACACACTGTGTCCGCTCCAGCTCTGGCTGTACAGTGGCAGATTTTCTCTAGGAGGGTTTTCTTCCCCACGCTGCACTCCTAACTCCCAGAACTATTGCCAGCCCAAACCCAGCCTTGAATCGTACAGGCAGGGGAACCGCTGAGCGCAGCTCCTCAGAACAACTGCTACCAAGTTTAAGCAGAAAGAGAGTTTTTACCTGGGGGACTGCAGGGGAGCAGTGCCCGCACAGCTGCAGGGTCTCGCAGCGCCGCCGGGATTGTCCCCTTCGCCCCCGACTCGTCGATGGGCTCCTTGGCCAGAGCACCGGTACTGCGACCTCACGATGGCACTGTCGCAAAGGAGTTGCTTCAACCTGAAAGCGGAGCGGACCGGGAGAGGGAGAGGATGCTCCCGGAGAGCCCGGGCTGCGCTGCTGCGGCAGAGCAGGTGTCCGGAAACGCCGGTAGGTTTTTACTCACCTTAAAATGTTTCTTACCCACCTTAAAACCGTAGGGGTTTTAAGGTCCTGCTTGAGGGAAACTCGGAGGAAGCCGCAGGGAATATCCCACTGCACCATTCATGGCTGAGTCAACAGTTCACTGGGATTCATCCCATTAATGTTTCTTATAACGACTCCTTTCCAATAGCCATCTTAACCGGCTAGAAAGGTTCTTCCTATTTGATGGACCCTCATTGCCGCATGTTAAAGTTAATCCATGGGCCTTAATACTGCCAATAGAGATATGGCCACAGTAGGATTGTTAATTTTGCCATGTAGTGGTCTGTTTAAAAAAAAGAAGGGGGCGGGGGGTGTTGTTTAAAAATCATCCCTCGCACTTTCTCCCCCAGTACGCATAGGTCATACCACAACTGCAGCAGCACAGGAACATCAAGGTTCAGGTCCCTCCCCACTGAAGACAGATTCCCTCAAACAGGGTCTCTCCTATTTTTTTCTTCTCCTCTACCCTCTCCAGCTGGATCCCCACTATTTGTCTGCCCTCTCTCAGTCCTGCAATCAACAGCCAGCATTACCCAGGTTTAGCTGATGGGGGAGAAACTGGGTTTAGCTGGTAAGGAGGAGGAAGCAGTTATCCTTTGCAGGATCTGCAAACCTTTTACTAGTAAACAGCCTTACCCAAAGCATGAAGAACAGCATCACCTTTGGTGCCTCGCTGGTCACCTTGACAGAAGGCCAGGACTGGCCTGACTGCAGAGTCTGGACACCCCCAGGGATCAGGAGCGGGGGTACAGCTCATACCCCTGCACTCAGAGCCCTCAGGAGAGCTACGGCAGCAGCTTGAAGTGAAACACAGCACACTGGGTTTGCTTTTCCCACCCCGGAGACTGCAGGCTGCTTCTTTGCACTTTGTTTCCTGCTCTGTCTCACAACAGGTTATCTTGCAGCGATAATCTGAGGCCCTGGCAGGAGCTGAGTTTCAGTGCCAGCATTGTGTTTGATCTGGAGCTCCCTCAACTCCTTTTGATCGTGTTTTCAGGTTTATAGCCACAAAGTCTACGACTTCCTCTAGACAAACAGAAAGCTGAAACTCTAAAGTGTTCCCATGAGTCCAGCAGTTGGGGACTCGCTGAAGTCACCAAGTGACAAGGTTTGCATTGATGTTTCACAATAAAATTGTGAAAGGCAAGAAGAGCACACATACTGTGCTTGCCCCATGAGGTCCTAAATGACAGCAGCATATCCAGGCTCTGAAATGACGTGGTCCATTTTACCTGAAGAGAGGGACAGTGGTGACAAGGCTACACACAGTGCAGGTTTCTGGATGGCAGGCTGAAGAACAGAGCAGATGGACAGCATGTGCGATGGGAGGCAGCAGAGGAACGCAACATCTGCTCAGGCCACCAGCTGAGCATTGTCGTAAAAGCACATGAGCCCCTGCTTCTGCAGGTCTGCTGCAATAACCAAGGAGAAAGGGACTCAAGAGTCCACAGAACCAGCACAGGTGACTGACCAGCACCTCCGGACACCACCTGCATGGTTACCTGTGTTCTGCCGCATTGCAGGTGAGACACAAACCACTGCTCCTAGGCAGGGATCCCTGGCTGCCTGCCCAAAGTGGGATGGAGGGACTTTGGCTGCTGCCTGTCCCCTTTCCTACATGGCAAAGGGCAGCAGCAGAGTGACATGGAGGAGGCAACCTCTCTGCCAGGAATAAACATGCAGAGATCTCCGCTGCCTCAGCTGCCTGGCCCCAGTTCACGCAGGCTGATCTAAAGCCTTTAGCTGAAACAGCCGAGCCTTGGGATCTGGCTAGTTTTCAAGATCTATAAAAAGCCATTTAATAATCCCTGCTTCCTCTCTGCCCTGAGGTGATTAGAATGAGGATTTTATTGTTCCAATCATCTCCCTGGAGCACCGTTCTCCCCACTTGTCTTGTTTTATGTAAGTGTTGGGGCAGCTGAACAGTTTGTATGCAAAGATGCTGTAATGCTGCAGGCTGGTCTCCTCTGCTGGCTGGGCGTGCAGAGCCCAGCGAGAAGCTTGTCTGCTACAACTGACCCTGCAGCCATGAAACAAGGAGAGGGACATCACCGTTTTCAGATGTTTTCTCTGTTGGGTGAATATTTAACAACCTGCAACCTCAGTCACTGACAAGGCTCTTGGCAAATGACAAGAAGAATTTTGAAAAGCCACAAAAATGGGGGAGGCTAAGCTAAAATGGGCCTTGAACTAGCCGGTTCAAAGAATGTCTCCACCACACTCAGATGGGACTGGTAAAATAAAGCAAACAACTAAATTAATGTTTGGTGGACAGTGGGTTTCCAACCAAACAAAGATCTTTTCTACAACAGCATCCTCTGCTTCCCAATAAAAAATCTTGAGTTTCCATACCTTCAATATTTTTGGCAGAAAAACATTATTTAGTGAATTCTGACTGAAGTGCTATGAAAAAAGTTCAGTTAAAAGTCCCAATTCCAGGCCCAGGCTGGGGAGCACTTATGCAGACTCTCAGGGTGCCTGGTGGAAACACAGATGCTGGGGCTCAGAGCCTAGCTCAGCATCAGGAGCTCTCGAGCCAAGGTGGCCCCTGCCAGCAATCCCAACCTTCAGGCTGCGGCTGCGGCTGTTCCCCAACAAAGTGGTCAAACCCTTCTCACTCCCACTCTGCCTGGGGAAGCAGAGAAGCTGGCATCAGCTCAGCACGAGCCATGGTTTCCCTAGACCACACGCGGTCCTACTCTTCCAGGAAGGGACGTGTCCAGATAGCACATCCCAATCCCACTCCTTGCATTGAACCCAACTCTCACCGCTGCTCTCCAGTGGGATTGCCAGAGAGGCAGAGGCTGATGGCTGCAGCCTGGCATGTACAACATCCGCGGGGCTTGGGGCTAGACCCCAGGGAGCAGGGCTAGGCCCCAGGGAGCATGGTGTCCCCATCCCAAAACACACCACCCATGCTGAGGCTAACTGGCCACTAGCTGTAAAGTAGTTCAGCAATTGAGAGCTGATACTTGGCAGACACACCAACCCACACGATGGCAAAGCTCAGGAACAAGTCAGCGTGAGGAGGATGGAGTAGTGACAGCAGAGGCTGCTGCTGAGAAGGGACGTGGGACAGCACCTGCTAGTGGAGGACGATTGGCTTATTATAAATCATATAGACTAGTGGCAGGAACAAATCACAAGTGTTGGGCACTACGCCCAACACTTTTTCTGTGATGAAACCCCAATTTGGTGCTAGAGACAATCTCCATTCCCTGGTTTTCTTAGGGGAAAACTAGTCCAAATGATTTAAGACTGACTGACAGTGAATTTATACAAATGCAGATATTCAGTAACCAACAAGTGTGGGTATACACAGTAGGCGAGTTTTTAACCATGCATAACAAGATAAAAAACTAACAAATTGTAGCATTGTGTAGGAATACCTACATAATGCTTAACTTTATACAGAGCTGGTGTGGACCATGCAAGAAACTCCCTGCAGAGACGAGTCACCTTCCCCAGTCCTCCCAGTGACACATTCATGCTGTTTAGACCAACACCAGAGTGACCGGTCATGTGCCTGTATCACGTTTTAGCTCAGTAAAGATGCAGTAGTTTGGGAAGAGCTTGGCACATCAACCTTTCTCCCTGACATGACTGTGTCACCCAGCCGGCACATTTTACCGACAGCGAGGAGCTTGCTTCCACCTCACCTGAGGTCACGGAGAAGTTTGCAGAAGAAGATGGCACGGGCACACACGTTCACTGCCAGCCCCTTGCGGCACCTTGTCAGATACATCACAGCCTCTTCACCTTCTACTGCTTCATCAGCCTGAGAGGACTTGAAAGGCTCTGTAATGTCCCACATCTTGACCCAGAAGGACAAGCATCAGCAGCAAGGATTTAGAAAAGGGACACGACCTCCACCCACACAGCATTGCAGTACATCCCAGCCCCTGCCAAAGTTGTACCTGCAATGTGAGACCCCAGCCCTTCTCAGGGTTTTTCCTTGCCAACACAGGACCTAGAAAAGTGGCTGGTCCCCACATGCAACACAGCCACCGAGAACAAGGTGCATCAGTGGATGTCTGAACCCGTGCTTTCTCTGATACTGCATTTCTCTGCTACGCAAGTCCCAGCTGGACTTTAAAGCCCAGCCACCTGTAAGCTGCTGGCACAGCGCTTGGGACAGGCTTCATTGGAGCTGCTCCTGGGCTGGAAGTATAAGAAAAATCAAACCTTCAGCAAGTCGTTCAGTTTTCCAGTTCAAAGCTATTTTTGCATTTGCCCTCAGCTTTACTACGTTAATACTCTGCCTTTTGCCCTCCACACCTGAGCAGTCTCTCAGCTCCTTCTGCCCGCGCATATTTGCTTTAAGTTGGCATGGCGTGGCCAGCTCAGCAGCGGCCAGGTGTGGGGACCCTTGCCCAGGACCTGCCTTACTGCTTAGAGAGAGCTGCAGGGCTGCTTTCAGAGGCACGAGGCCATCATCACAATAACAGAGTGAGTACGACTAGCCCAGAAAGCTCTGAAAACCAGAGCAGCTGATTCCCTGCTTTGCTAAGTAGGTGGTGTTTCAGCCAGCAAAGGTGCTGGGGGTTTAGAGGTGGCTGGAGCAGCACCTCCCAGCCCTGCCTGCTGCAGCAGAGGACAGCTTGGTGCACCATTTAGCCTCCTGTGAGGCAAATATACAGTGCTCTTGGCCAGAGTAGGACACTGCTGAGCTGTCTGAATTACTTGTGTCCCCTGATGGAACCCGGAGGATGCTTCAGTGTATCAGAAACCTGCCTTGAAGATGGAGAGAGGCAAAAAGCGGCCTGTTCCCTAAAGGTCTCTGCAGCTCACCTGACTTGGGCAAAGCTCCCACGGGGCGAGAGGCACCAACTAGGCTGAAGTGCCCTCAGCCAAATGACTCCATGCCCCATCACAAGCAGTTGGAATGCTGTCTTGCACTCGTCACCAGCCGCAGCCTGCGCGGAAGCAGAAGCACTGCATCCTGCAAACTGGACACCGCGGTCAGGGGATCAGTAGGCACAGCCAGATCACAGCTCCCCTGCTGCTGGACTTACACATCTCCTTCTACATCTGTATCACTGGTCATACCACAAGAGGAGCATCCAGGACCCACACTTGGAAAACACAGGCGTAAATATTTATTTTATGGCTTCGTCAGATTCCTCCAAGGGTATGTTCAGCTTCTCCCATTGCTCCCTGACATAAATCCCAACCAGTGACACCATTCCAACTCCTACAACCAGGCAACGTCCTGACCTGGGGCATGTGGGAGAGCCTGGCAGCAAACCTCCCCCTAGCCGAGAGCATCCTGAGTTGCCTTAGGATGAATGTTGCCAGCAGGTTAAGGAAGGTGAGTCTTCCTCTCTAAATCCACAGTGCCGTGTCCAGTTCTGGGCTCCTTAATACAAAAGAGACATGGGTACACTGGAGAAAGTCCAGCAAAGGGCCACTAAGATGACTAGGGGAACTGGAGCATCTCTTGTTTGAGGAGAGGCCAAGAGCTAGACTGTTCAACCTGGAGAAGGCTCAGGGGGGGATCTTCTCAATGTGTGTAAGTATCTGATGAGGGAATGAAGAAAAGGGACACAGATTCTTTTCAGTGGTGCCCAGTGATGACAAGAGGCAGTGCACAAAATCTGAAAAGTGAGAGTCCATCTGTAGACAAGAAAACACCTCTTTACTGTAAGTGTAGTCAAATTCAGGCATAGGTTGCCCACAGAAGCCAAGTTGTCTCCAGCTGTGGAGAAACTGAAAACCCAAATAGACCCAGTCCTGGTCTGCCTGTTCCAGGTGACCTTGCTTGAGTAGGATTGGATTAGATGATCAAGAGGTCCCTTCCAACCTAAATGATTTTGTAAGAATGAAAAAAAAAACAACCACCAACGGAAAAAAAAATGAGTACAGTGCAGCAGGGAGGCTGGAACCCAAACCTGCCCTCAGACTAGTACATCACTACATGTGACCTTCACCTTTCCGTGCCCACCCTTGCAGCAGCAAACTCCTACAACATTAACATTAATCCATCTGTGATGATGGCATTGAAGGTGTGAAATAAGGTACTGCTGCAAGCAAAGCCACTCCATGGTGACACACACTCTGCTTTTCAGGACCTGAGAAAACACCCTGCATACTCACTTTGTGGGAGGTGTGATAAATTGCACAGGATTAGCAAACAGAGTGACAAAGTGCTCAGTGTGGGAAGGAAATAAACAGCCCAAGGAGAAAGAGACAGCTTTATTTAAGGAATTGAAGTGAGGTCTGGAAGGATGAAGCCAGCAGTTGCCTGAGGAGTTGTGTTTCTGAGAAAGTGCAATTCAATCCTTCCTGGCAAAACACTTTCAGAGTAAAGAGCTGCTGGGGCCAGCAGGCTTGGGCCCGCTGAGAGGGGTCCCTCCTTGCTCTCCATCCAACCCAGCAGGGCTCTGACCAGCTCCACACTAGGTGCCTGTTCTTCCCTGCTAAAGGGATCTTCCAAGAGCTGCAGAGTGCCAGCACAAGGATACTGGCAGGGGCTGCTGTCCTGGCTCTCTGCAGGAGTTCATACAACACCTCTTTTCCTAAGGTGAGCCAGAATAAACCAACAAAAAAAAAAAAAAAAGAGCTTTAAGGTGCAGCTGGTCCTTTTCCCCTGACACACTCTGATGCAGGGAGAACACAGTCCAGTAGGCTTTATTCCAGCCACAGCCATGACTGGTGATGCTCAAGCCAGCTTGAGTGTTACAGGGACTGCTCAGCACTGGCTGGTGGAGACCCTCACAAGTCTGACTGACCTGTCAGTCAGACCGGGCAAGAACAAGCCCAGGTACCACCCAGAGCAAACGCAACCTTGCTGTGCCCAGCAACTTCCCCCCCGTAAACAAAAGCTATGGCTGGCTTACAGCCAAGTCAAAGAGAATCAGATTCCAAAAAGAATCAACCCTGGTGGATCAGTACCATGGTTTCGCTGGCTGCACTGGAGCAACTGCCTTCAAGCAGCCTGCATGCCACTGTACCACAAGCCACGGGCACCCACTGTCACTGACGAACGTTGATCATGCAATGAGTAGTAACAGAGTTGCTCTGTTGGCACTGCACTGGGTTTTGCAGTTTCCTCTTCCACTGGCACAGCAATGGCCAAGCAGGCTGCTTCACAGGTGCTCAGTTCTTCCATCGGATTTGCTAAAAGAGAGAACGAGACATGACTAACGTCAGTGTTGAACAGATCCCTCAGGGACCAAGTTAGTGAGTCCCAATCCCTGACAAGGACAACTATGGCCAGAGGGTGCTAATTCTATCAGTTTCACCCTTCATTCCTACACTGAATGCAATCCCAAATGTAAGATTAGCTTCCCAGCAGGGATTAAAAGTATGTAAAAAGGCCACACCTAATCTATAGCTGTTTCTGATTAGAGTCTCTGGAAGAAAAAGTAGGCATTTCTTACCATGTTGTTGAGAATGCTGTTTATCTTATCTTCTTCTGCAGAGCCTCGCTCCACCTTGCATTTGTATGCGGTCAACTGGATGCGATCCTTTAGATCCCTGTATGTCTAGATAAACAGCAAAACCAGCACCCAGCTTTCACAGTTAGATGTGGCCCTGAAGATGAGCCGGGCAACTCTTCAGTCCCCCCTCAAGTTCCCACCCACAGCACAATTCCACAGCACAAATATTAGGAATCACACATGGGCTCACTTGGCTTCCACTGGGAACCGTATCACTGCTCCCAGGCCACAGGGATAAACAAACCCCTCCAGGCACATGACAGCAGTGGCATGTGGCAGAGCACAAGAAAGCTAGGGAGAAAAAGCAGGCTCTTGTTCCACCTCTTCACACACACAGGAGGGACCTACCTCAATGACGACATCGTGGCACTTGTATTTGGTGGCAAGGTTCAACCGTGTCTCCACATCCTCCACCAGGCGCACATACTCCTGCAGCACCTGTGAGAGAAGGAAGAGTGTCTCAGCTCCCTTCTGCAGGTACCTCCTGCCTCATTCTCTCACCCCAGTCACAAAACCTTTCAAGGCCATAGTATCACAGAATGGTAGGGGTTGGAAGGGACCTTTGGAGATCATGTAGTCCAACCCCCCTGCCAAAGCAGGTTCACCTAGAACAGGTTAGACAGGATCGCACCCAGGCAGGGTTTGAATTATCTCCAGAGAAGGAGACTCCACAGCCTCTCTGGGCAGCCTGTTCCAGTGCTCTGTCACCCTCAAAGTAAAGAAGTTTTTCCTCATGTTGAGATGGAATTTCCTGTGTTCCAGCTTGTGCCTGTTGCCCCTTGTCCTGTTGCCAGGCATCACTGAAGAGAGTCTGGCCTCATCCTCTTGACACCCACCCTTTAGACATTTATAAGCATAGATAAGATCCCCTCTCAGTCTTCTCTTCTCCAGGGTAAACAGACCCAGTGTCTCAGCCTGTCGCTTGTCACACAGACTTGACCCCTTCCTTCCTAAGGCAACAAGTGACCAGGACAAGACTGCTCAGGACCCCAGAGGCAGTAAAGCATTGCTCACAAAGCTCAGAGTCCAAGGCTACCTCGTTTCTGTGGATCTGGTTAGCTATCACCAGCCAGATCAAGCATAAGCAAAGTAAACGTAGCAAACAAAGGTGGCAATGCACTGTGAGGAGAGAGCTCCCAGACAACTCTAGGCTCGATGTCCCTCTTGCAGTTAGACCTAGGACCCAGCCCTCACTAGCACCCACACCTCCTGTTGATGCATGGGTCGCTCAGCTGAGTGCTGCACCCACCTGGCAGAGTCAGCAGCTTGGCAAGCTGTCCTCCCATTCTCATCTAAGAAGTAGCTCACTTGGGGAATCATTCAAACCCCAAATCCCAACAAAGAGCAGCAAGACATAAGCAGCAGTTCCTTG